TTTCTCTCCAGCCACCACGTTTCTGGGTGAGTCCCTGCAGGGTAGCCAAGGCTACTTGGCCAAAACACTCTCCTTCCACACTCTGGCTGGGCATGTAATTTCATGCAATCACATAAATTAATTACAATGAACACCATTCATAGGGAGGTTTTCATAGTGCTTTTCCAGCTGTGATCTGCTCTGTACGACTCTGTAGGACCAGGCTGGCGACGATCTCCTGACATTTAGCAGCCTTTCTTTTCCTTCCTTCCTTCCTCCCTCCCTTCCTTCCTTTTCTTTCTTTCTTTCTTTCTTTTTTTTCTTTCCTTCTCTTTCTTTCTTTCTTTCTTTCTTTCTTTCTTTCTTTCTTTCTTTCTTTCTTTCTTTCTTTCTTTCTTCTCTCCCTCCCTTCTCCTTCCTTCTTTCCTTTCTCCCTCTCCCTCTCTCTTTTCTTCTCTTTGCTTTTCTTTTTCCCTTCCCTTCCCTTCTCTTTTCCTCCCTCCCTACTTCCCTTCCTCCCCATAGCTAACACACAATGTTCCATTCGTTTCAGGCGTACAACTAGCGGTTCACCAAGCGTATACATTGTGCTACGTTCACCACATTCCACTCCGTCCTTTGCTACTTCCTGTATTCCAAGGGCCAGAGAAAGGGGAGATCCACATTTCCTGACTCTCTTACACCTTGGGTTCTGGATGAGATTTGTGTTCTGCCAGCGAGCTCTGCTCAGGAGAGGTTTGGAAGGTGGAAAGAAAGCAGAGGTCAGCTGTTTGGGGCAAAGCCAAAGGATGGATGAGCTGGATAGACAGGGGTCTTCGCGGAGGCAGGACTTTTGTTAAGGTGGCCTCATCACTGGTGTGAGCAGCTAGGAACTGAGTGTCCAGCCCGAGGTCTTAGAGCCAGAATCCAAGCCCCAGGCGGGTTTGACCCCGAGGCTCACCACCCCCCTTCTTCACCAAGCCACTTTCTCACGAGGGCACTGCCACCCAGACCGGTGTGTGCACAAGGGGTGTGCTGCTGGCCAGTGATGGAACTGCCTTCCCTCCAGGTCAGGGGATGGTCAGGTCGCCGCTATCCCCACAGGTCACCCTCCTGGACTCACTCCAGGATGAAAGCCTCCCCTCCACACACATGTGCACCCTGAAGCCGGGGGCCAGGCCACATGGGCCTCCAGCCCGGTGTCCAACACTGTTCTGGAAATCAGGAGCAATTAAGGGGATCATCAGGCAGAGCAGGAATTTGGACTCTGTGTCCCCAGAGACCTAGAAACTCATGATTTCACAAGGAAGGATCTCACGTCCGTAGACCCTTGGCCCTTCTCCACCCCTTCCTCACTGTCCCCCAAAGGAGGAAGAGAGGTTATGTGAAGGGTCATTTGGGGATGAACAAATTAGCTTTACTCAGTTTAGCTCTGCCCGGGCGGATGCAGGCCCCTCTGCTGGTCTTATATGAACAGTCTCTTACCCCACGTGGGTGTGGATCTGGGAGGTGAATCTTCCCCTCGCTGGGGTCTTGGAGAAGGAAGCCCTTTTGACTCACACAAAGCCAAGCTTTTGTCAGCAAAGAGGTGATATCTTGGCCCCTATCTGCCACCTCCTTGCTTTATTTTTCATTTGTTAAAATCCCATACGGAGACGATGGGGCTGAGATGTTCCCCCGCCCTCCAAATTCGTATGTTGAAGTCCTAACTCCCGTTAGTTCAGGAGGTGACTCCATTTGGGTAGGGCCATGGCAGATGTAACTGGGTAAGACGAGGTCACACGGAAGCGGGTGGGGTGGGCCCCTGATCCAGTAAGCCTGGTGTTCTTGCACACAGACATGCACCTGGGGAGAATGCCACGCGGAGTTTGGAATTACGCTGCCCCAGCCCGGGGACCGGCAGGAGCTCACGGAGAGAACAGGAACGGACCGTCCCTGGTGCCTCAGAGGGGACACAGCCCCGTCCACACCTTGACCTTGGACTTCCAGACTCCAACAGTAGGAGACAATACATTTCTGCTGCTGGAGCTCTCTATCTGTGGGACTTTGTTGCAGCAGCCGTAGGAAACTGAGACAGGGGCTGTGTACTGGGGGCTTTCAGAGACTCCCGCGCTGAGGCTAAACGACTCTCCCCTGGCATCGTGCTGCACGAGGACCGACCCTTCCCTGTGGCCCTTCTGAAAAGAACCACATTACCTACCACCTCCCAAGGACCCCCAGAGCAGATCTCAACCCCACTCCCGCACTCCGTCCTGAAACGCTCGGGACCCTGTCTACATAATGACACGCTGTGGCCCCTCCGACTTGGAAAGACCCCCGGCCCCCCACACTTCCTTCTCCACTCTCCAGTCCCTGGATCCGAGGCTTCAGAAACAATGCGCGCCCACCTTGTTGCTGCCCTGGGGTCTCTGCCTCCAGGGGCGACGGAGGAAGCCTGGAAAGCGTTTTGACAAGGGAGGGGGAGAGTCTGTGCTCCTGTCTGCTACCGTTTCGGGGAGTGCCCCTCACAATCATCAATAAATATGTCAGCAATGGAGGGTGAATTCTTTGAGACGAGTTCAGTTAAGGACTGCTCTAAAATACATCAATTAACGGGACATCTGAGGTACAGTAAGGCCAACAGACCAGGAGACAACTGCCACTGAAAGGATAGTTTGTTCTTGGACGTACCCAAGAGAAGGGGGTCCACCGTGCCATGGGGGCCGTGTGGAGGAGATCAGGGTCGGCCATGAGGCTGAGGGAGAAGGGCAAAAACGTGGGCAGGGGGCTTTCTGGTGGTTTCTGTGGGAAGGAGTAAGTGAGGCAGGGCAGGCAGGGTTAGGACTGGTCGGCCTGCATGATTTCAGCAGCTCTGGGGTGCAGGGACCGTCTCTGCTCGTCTGGGGCCTGGCCCTGGGGTGACTGGGGCAGGTGGATAGTGGCCCTGAATGTGAAGAAGTCGGGCATCAGAAGTCAGGAAGAAAAGGCACGGTTAATACAAGGAGAGGAAAGCAAACTCGGCTGCCGTGGCTGCTGTGTCACCTGATGCCCAAGATTGAGGGCAGGTGTCTCCTGCCCACGCGAGCTCCACCCTCCACCGCCAGTTGTGAAAGTGTGAACTGTGTGGGGTCTCATGGCCTCCTGCAGCGGAGCGTCCCCACTCGCCCCCAAGTGCCCTGTGAACCCCCCTCCCTCACACAGCAAGACCCAGGAAGCCCGCAGCCCAGTCCCTCCGCTTTCGCACGGCCCGGCCCCTGCCCTGGCCCAGCACTGACCTCAGGACCACCAGATACCTTGAAAATCCCCGAGGGGTCCCCCTCAGGACCCCTGAGAATGAGCGTAAAAGGGAAGGAGGAGAGGGATGGATGGAGATCCAGAGCTCAGGAACAAGGAGACACAGGGAAGGCTGCATGCCTGCGTCTCTGCGTGCAGTGGCCACAGGAACCAGTGGCCAGATCACGTATGAACTGTGGAGTCGCACAGGCCTGGGTCTCATTTCCTCACAGATAAAATGGCTGAGTTCTTCCGGTTAAGTCGTGTTCACCTGCCTCTGTGATCCCACCCACCCTGCCCTGAGCAGAGAAGGGGCAGGGAGCGGCTGAGGGAGCACCTTTTAGGTCCTGCTGGCGTGACAGGGGCGGACCCTCACTGTCTGTCTTCCACGGTCGCCGTGCCTGCCACGCCGCCCCGCTTCTGCCTTACTGCTGGGAAAGCCAGGGCTCACAGAGGTGGAGTGACTTGCCGAAGACACGCGGAGAGCCGGGGGGTCAGCTGAGCTCCACATCCGGGGATCCTGACTTGTATACGCTCACTGGTGCTGCGACCTGTATCCTCAGCTCTGCCCAGGCCCCCTGGTGTCCTGAGGTCATCACTGACCCTCCGGTCCGGAGCACAGCATTTCAACCCACCGCCCCAAAGCACCCAGGCCGGTTTCAGCTCTGGCAGGAGGTTCGAGCCCAGGTTCCACCACTCCTGCTCTCCACCTCCTGATACCAAGGAGCTTACACAATGAGGTAGGATTCCCTGAGCCTCACCGGTGACACAAACAGGCTTCCAGAGAGGCTTCTAGAAGGAGCCACAGCCTCCACCTCCTGGGGTCGGGGAGGGAGGCTGGGAGGAGCTGCGTAGAAGAGGCAGCAGTCTCACCCCTGCACGACACAGGAGCACCTCAGAAAACTCCCCAGCTGCTGACTCCACCCCGTCTTCCCCAAAGCCCTTGGGGGCTGAGGCCCCAAAGCCACGTCAGCAAAGTCAGTGTTCAAGGCTACAGGTGACTGTCAGATCGGCCGAACTGTGCATTGTTGGGCCACGCCCTGGAGTTACGGCCCGACTCTGATGGGCGTCACATCCCTGGGAGTGAGCCAAAGCACAGAGGCCCAGGCCTGCCGAAGCAAGACAGGGAATGGCTTTAATTCTTACCAAGTCCCCGCAGAGATTCCCAGGAGACCAAAGTTGGACATAGGCAGCCCTCCTTCTCCAAATGGGGTCCACTGACCAGTAGCGTTGGCTTCACCCGGGAGCTCTTAAAATGCAGAATCCGGGCCCCACCTGAGACTTACTGAATCAGGGTCTATACGCACATGAAAGCTCGAGAAGCCGGGATGAGGGAAAGCGTGGCGGATTACGGATTACAGATTACGGATTTCTGGCTTGTGAAGCACATATGATGCCCTTTGATCTCCGTGAGAATCTGGAAGGCGGACACCATTTTATGTTTTACAGAAGACGAGCTTGAGGCTTGGAGAGGTAAGCACATTTCCTGAAGCCGCAGGTCCACAGGTGGGGGAGCTCTCCAGCCCTACATCTCATTCCCACCTCTGCCCCGTCCTCCTCACATCAGGACAAGAACAGCTATGCGGTCGGCCACGAAACCTTCAAATATGTTGGGCTCGGCTCACTGCTCAGGACACGGACCGGAAATTACACAGATGTTCACCCACCAGAATTAAACCAAAAAAGGCTTTCTAGCCAACCCTCAAATCCAACGCCCCAGGACCCCGGTTTCCCAGAGCCTCAAACTCCCCGCTGCAAGTGTCCCTATAAAACACACGTAACAGGCTTACCGTGTTCATCCAGCAATATGTTGTCTGGCTTGATGTCTCTGTAAGAGAAAACAAAAAGGCTGAAAATGTGATTCCTGGAGTCTATTGATGAGCACATAACAAACATGACACTTGGGGACAAACGCCTGACAACACCCAGCATGCCTGTCTCTCCCTTGGCACGACATCTCAGGGAGCAGGGGAGTAATTACTATGATGATAGAGCACCTGTGCTCTTGCTTCCTTCTCGTTTCCTGGAACTGCAAGTCGACTGTGGGAATACCTTCTTCCTGAATGTTGTTGACAATTTCTGGTTTTGAGACTCCTAGGAGTATCTGCTCATTGAGCACCTGCATAGACGCTCCCCCCTCCTGATGGACTGTAGCCCTCCCACCTTGTTATGTAACCCCCCTGGAGGTGACGGTCTCTGCTCTACAGACACGGGAAGGAGGTTCAGGAAGACTGTCAACTTGTTTAGGTCAGAGATCAGCCACACCCAGCCCTCAGCCAGTTTTTGTGCAGCCTGCGAGGCTAAGAAGGGCTTTTACATCTCTCAGGATTCATAAAAACAAAACACGCACAAAAAGCAAAACCAAAAGGATGTACTACAGAGACTGATGTGGCCCCGAAAGCCTAAAATAGTTATTATCTGATCCTTTGGGGAGAAAGTTTGCTGGTCTTTTTTAGGGTGGGGGCGGGCGAGTTTCTGGAAAGTTCTGCCGAACATCGCCATTAGAGCGAAGGGCTTCCGACTCCAAGTCATGCTTATTCAAGGTGGGAGCTTGCCTTCTTCACCTCTGCACCACGTGCCTAGCACGATGCCTGTCGTCAGTAGACTCTGTCAGAGAAAAATCAGAGCTGGACAGTAGTCAGAGTGCAAGAACAGACTATACTCAGGACAATTGCAGCAGGGGAGACCTGGCCTCAATTCTGAATGCATCACGGACAAAGTGGGAATTTACAGCCAAGGAGCAGGTGGGGGTCATGGATACAAAGTTACTAACTGGAAACATCAAGGGAGGGGGATTCTGGGTAAAGCCACCCGCTAGAGGACTCTTGCCAAAGGCAGGCTGGGGCACTGGACATCACCTGGAGGATGAGGCACCTGACCAGATGTGGAGGATGGATGCTTCTGGCAAAACCAACATCACGGTCCTCCCTAAGACTGGACAATGCAAAGGTGAACAACAAAGCCCGAAAGCGGAGGACGAGTTGCAGAAGAACTCAGAAGAGCCTGCATGAAGTTTGGTTGAGGAGAAGGAGTCTTTGTCAACACACAGGAAACACGGATGGGGGAGTAATGGAAGAATAAATGTAACAACAACAACAACAAAAGCCTTTGAGAAACTCAATTGACATCTTCAGCCCCGATGTACTTATCATGAACATGCATACACTCCCCGAAGCTCGGTATTAAAACCACAGCCTTTAGAAATGCAAACCCCACTCATTCATTTATAATAAATGTCCAATCCTCTGAGACTAATAACAACTTGCTTCAAAATAGAAAACATTTGCTCCTGAGTTTATCAACTAGTAACTGTACCTGAAAACAGACGCTGGTTATTTGTAATCATGCAGTGCAGTGTCTATGGCTTTGGGGATGAAAGAAACACTCAACCTATATATTTAAACTTTTAGTTCCACTGTGACTTTTTGAGCTTTGAATATTGATGAGCATTCTGAAAATGGAATTTACCGCCCTGCCCCCACCACTGCCGAGTTCACAAAACATCCACAGTGGACAGAGATGATTCATGGAATCCCCATGGGAAGGATAAGCTTGAAAACTTATGAAATTAAAACAAAGGGCAGAAGACCCAGGGTCAAGGGTTTGTGCTTCAAACCAACAAACACTTGGTCCCCATGGAGGGCACCTCCCAGTAGGGCTCTCAAGAAAAGGGGAACTATTTG